AGACTTGAAATACTGCGTTGACCAGAGCAAACTTCCTAGAACCTTTAGCTTTTTGCAACATTTTTTTTTTAAATGATGAATTACTCATTAATTTGCGAACGCCGTTTCGCCATCAATTTCACCTTCTTCAAGGTATGCAAGATTGTTAGGTGGAAACAAGTTGGTTTCGTTAACGGAAGATTTGATTCGGTTAAGTTGAGGATCCAGCGCTTGCTCCAAGGTGAGAGTAGCAGTTGAAAATGATTTGCATCTTTTGCACAAAGCAAGAAATATGTCATAAAATCTTGATCGCTTCAAAATGCATGATAAGTCTACAAACTTTTCTACACAAACTTTTCTTAATCTAGACTATTTAAGATCCAACGAAAATTTTTTGCTACTAGTGATTTATATGGAACAAATAACTGGAAAAATGCAAATTTTCTGTGGATTATTAGGCACCAGTTTTTTGAATAACGCAATTCTTGAGAATTATCTTCTTTTTGTTGCTCTTTTTCGCATATTCGATCTAATTCGACCTATTAGTTGAACATTGTACTTGGTAAGTTTCGGATATTACATTTACCTCTACTGTTGTTAGTATTAACAATCACGAGTCAGCGAACATATCATCGCTGTGATTAGCGCATGTAACTAAGTCAACCCGGCAGATGTCATGACATGTGAACTCCACCCGGAGGAGATGGCACCTCAGCTGGTCAGTACTAGAGAACTGGCGCCTGTTTAGGTCATTTTTCCAGGTCTGACATATTCATTTTCGACTTGCGGAGCAAACAGCAAGTTCAGCGTCCATTACATGCGAGAGTGAACGCGTCATCATGTGCCGTGTTATTTACCTTGATTATGAAACATACAGGTACTAACATCGCTCAGTTCATTGCACAACTAACAGGAGAAGCGTTTGGTTCTAGGTTCGAAGTGCGTCATACACACCCATGGAAAAGCGGCAAATCTCATTACACAATTACTGAGGAACAAAGAATTCTTTGAAATTTCGCATCAAGAATATATTAAAGGTATACGCTCATAAAAATTATTAGCAATAATTTCAATGCACTAATCACTCTCATATAATCAACGTAACCAGGAGTCTACGATCCATTCACTGGAAAGAACCTAAACTACGATGACACACTAACGATTCCAATTATTGAGAACCAACCAAGAGAAGAACAATTAATGGTGAGCAAAGACACCGTTTTTTCATGTTTCACACTCGTAATAATTGTATATTTTAGCCTGCTCTGGAAGAGTGCTTGAAAATCAATCAGCGAACCTGTGCCGTACTTGTACGCAATCACGGACTTTTTGTGTGGGGTTCATCGTGGGAGAAAGCAAAAATAATGTGAGCGGATTAGGAAAGCGCGGTTTCAGTGTTACATAGAGGATTTGCCCTTTCTCGTTCTAATTCAGGACAGAATGCATCGATTACCTCTTGGATTTGGCTATTCGTATGATTCGGCTTAAGATTCCACTGATAGAAGATCAGCCAATGGAAAAATCGGTGATTTTGGATAAAGAGTATCAGCATATTTTTTACCCTTAGTAGTACGATCGGAGTCACTGAAGCGTGACTATGTGACAGAGGCTTTGTGGAAACCTTTGCAAAGCGAGATACTATTAGTTGTATTCATTAATGCTTTGCTCTGAAGTTCG